GCTCTCTCATAATCAATGAAGTTGATGTATAGTGACGAGTTTCATTCAACTGATTGTCCAACGATGATCTTTAGTATCATGATTTAGTTCGTGCACGACCCATGCTTACGGAATCCAGCCTGTTGGTCTCGACATTGGACGTCTACTGAGTCTTTCATCCGGTCTAGCGATACTCCATTGAAAGCGTTTCCTGGCGAGATTCAAACCAAGGATCCATCGGTCTTGCGCATAAACGCTTAACCACTAGACCACTGAAATTACTAATAATATCCACAAAAAACCCTTTCAAATATATATATATATTTCTTGAAGTTAACTTGTACAGTGGTAAAATGTTTTGCTAGTTATTAGGTAACTGACTAGAAATCAATCGTATGTCCTGAAGAAAATAACCGACAATAGAAGATTTGAAAATGTACAATGAAAAGTTGAAATATCATATATTTGTTTGTATTATTTAAAGTTATATAACAGATAAACGTGTAACCTTATAGTACCGAATCTTTGTCGGCAACTAGGTTATACCGTTCATAATTTAGGTATTGAGGTCAAATTACAGAAGCAATTTTTGTGTCATAACTTGAATTTTGTGTGTCTGTGTGTGTGTGTATAATTTGTCTGTAATGTACATTCCATTGGCTACATAAATGAATCTCCCTTGAACTGTTGCATAATTCAATTGGAAATTATATTAAAAGTGAACTTTATCAGTTAAGGGTTTTGTGAAAATTTTAAAAATTTCTGTAAATTTTAAATGGCCTACTGATTTTAGTTTAACCATCATTAAAAACGTGGAAGCAGTCAACGAATCTACGACACAGAATCCGGGAATGAAATCTTGGACCTTCGGTCTTACATGCGAACGCTTAACCTATAGATATCAGTCAGTCAGCCAGACACAACGTAGCATCTGTACGTATATATACTGGTTCAAGTTACCATACTCTGTTAGCACAAAGAAATGAAATTTTCAGATCGATTCTCAGAATAATAGAGATAGTAACAGTATCAGTGGTGAAACAAAAACAAAACAATGGTTACGAGGAGTTTAGAATCTTAGGATCCAGATGACGACAAACAACCAATGTGCGTACACCATTACAAACGATTTCGAGCCATATCATTCAAAGTCTCTAACCACTGGTTACGATAATCACGAAAACTCGCTAGTCTATATCGAATAACATGGTTCAGTCCAAATGCTAATCACTTTATGGACTGACGCCATTCTTGGATTTACTACCCTTGTCTTTCTTTCATCTTACTCTTACACCAGACAACATATCCTGTCGAGATGGAGGATAGTCAAGCAAACGGAATAGTTGTCGCAAACACCTCAGTTCGTACCTAATCAATCGACTTCTCATCCTTACAGTGTTATACTACTTCATCCCCTGTCAATAGTTCTGCCGATAATGAAGGCCAATGATGAAGTAACTGCATAACAAACATGATAGCATTGATGCTTAGGGTGGTCAGAAGATTGCAGTTTGTCAGAATCTTAATCAAACATAACCATATAATCTGCATGTTCTAAGTCAGCAAGTAAAACGTTTGGTAGAAGATCAACCCCTGATAGTCAGACAATGTCGGTGTTATGTCTAAAAGCATGTCTGTGACAGAGTAAATTAAGAACAGGAACCTATAGATTACTGAACCATCACTTAACAGTGTTAGTGTCTAACTCCAATCGATTTACTACATTGACTGATCGTCTTCTATCTCCTTCGATGGATTGCTGTCTTTCACCCAACATGGTTACCACTCAGCCATTCGGAAAGTTTTTAACCTCCTGCAAAACAAATATATAACGGATCAGTCCATTAGTAGAAACCTACACTGAAAGAATGGATAAACATGAAATTGATCACTGTTCAATAATCAGTAAATTGTAAAGCTCTCAATTAGAGAGAGAATAAGTCACGTTTCAAATAACCTAGTAAAAACGTCTGAGAATCTGAAGCCCTGCTTACCTACGCACTAACTTGAGACGCCCCCACTATCATTTTCCATCCAACCCTGTATTATAGAACCTTTTCCAGTTGTTTCCAGTTACTATTCATTCTGCTCATGTCTGCTTCCAATTCCCGACGTACTGTGGTCCTCCACGTTCCCTTTTCTCCTCAGCATTCCAAATTGGCATTTGCCTCGTGATGCAGCCTGATGGTTTCCTTAACGTATGGTCTATACACTTCTACCATCTTTTCCTACTTCCCACCTCAGCTGGAAGCTGGTTTGTTCTCTCTTACAGTAGGTTGTTTCTGATGTTGTCAACGGATATTGCGTATCTTGCGTAAACAATTGTTCAGTAATACCTGTACCTTTTCGATGATTATTGTAGTAGTACTTAAAGTTTCAGCTCCGTACAATAAAAAACTAACTGTCTTGACACTCGTATTGAAGATTGTGACTTTGGTATTGACAGAAAGTTGTTTTGATGATGTCAGTTCATGATGAAAACTTTAAATATAATTCTTAGCCATCCATTGTAAACATATTTCTAATTGCTCACACTTGTTTATAACTGTCATTTAGCCCTGTGTAAGCAGATGGACATTCCCAAGATCACTTTAGCATCACTCAAATATTGTGCATAAATTATAGACTCATACATGATTAAAATGATTTTATATCATGATTCTAATTGATCACTTATTACAATATCATAGTTACAGTCAAATGAGTTCTAATATTTGATCAGGTGAATTAGTTTGATTTCTATGTTATGACTCCTAAAAGATTGGGCAATAATCTTTCATGAACCTGTAGCGTGGCATCGAGTCGCGGTTGACTATGATCAGCACTACGGGAAAACTACATGCAAGTTAACCGATAAGATCCCCCGTAGGCCAAATATCAGAAGGCAGTTGATGGTTGTAGTCGAAATGTATTTGTTGGCGATCTCGTGGTATCGAAAGAATACAGAGATCGTGCCAGGTTACAAGTGTGGTTACTGAGCGTAACCGAATTCGTGCAAGGCCACAATCAACGTAAGAAAGAATGGAATACAGTTAACAATCAAGTACAGTAAAACAATCACTGGTACAATTGGTTGTAATAATGATTGGTTCCATTACATCAATCGCGTTCTCTTGATAAAATTAAGTCACTAAAAAGCCTTTCAATATACTTCACAAGAAACTTCAATTAATTTTCCCACTTTCATTGTTTTATACATTTTCCGATACGAACTTATTTCATTTGCAGTTGGTATTTGTCTATTATATAATGTTAATTTTCCATGGATAGAAACTGTGGTGTTTGAATGAACTAATGATTCCTTGGTACTTGTTGAATGCTTGATTTCGAACTCTAAATACAGTACATTCGTTTGTGGTTATCTAGTACTTCTTGATCAGATTACGTTATCTCTGGGATTCTTAGTTCATACTATAATTCAAATACTCCTTATCATCATAGAAACCTTCTTATCCTATGTTTGACATGTTTCAATAAATCTTGAAGTACTTAGGATTAGAAGAGAGT